TTTAAAGGCTCTAAATTAATGTTTAATTAAATGATTCAAAAGGAATCATTGAAAGATGTGAACTGCACATTTAAAAAAATCTCACCTTCTATTTCTTTTCTCTTGGTTCTTAGAAAATAAAAAGTGGAACTATTTTTTACTTGTCCTTGCTTAATAGATGGGAGCTGCCTGGATGACTCCAAACCCAGGAATGGAGACCTAGTTTCTTGTCAAGAGGATGGGGAGCTGCATGGTAGTTTGCATGTTTTAAACCTCTGGTTTAGGAGGTTTCTCTGAGTGTTTGATGTCTGCTTTCATTTCCCTTCCTGAGGATGCTGCCCTTTCCATGTAGAATCAAGAAACTGGACACTGCCTGGCCAGCGTGGCTCTGCAGCTGAGCGTGGACCTACGAACCAGAAGGTCACAGTTTGATCCCGGTCAGGGCACATGCCTGGGTTGCAGACTCGATGACCAGTGTGAGGTGTGCAGGAGGCAGCTGATCAATGATTCTTTCTCATCATTGATGTTTCTCTCTCTCTCTCTCTCTCTCTCTCTCTTTCTCTCTCTCTCCCTTCCTCTCTGAAATCAATAAAAATATATTTTAAAAATAAAGCTGGACACCCACCTGATTGTCCCTCCCCATTTGCATGTTCCTTCTTCCCCAAAGTTTTGCTGGATCGAGGCTGTGACCTGGTAAACGTAATGGGGAGTTTGGAAGCCAGGCGGAGGAAGGTTACAGTACAGCCTATCCAACAAACAGTTATATTTATTTATTAGCTATCTCTATCTGTCAAGCATCTTTGAATTGCAGTCACTGGGGGATTTTCACTCTTTCTCACCTCTCCTCTGTTCCAGCTTCCAGACACTGTGCTGGCCAGCTCATCTCCTCTGACCTCCCCCATCCCCTTCCTGATAATGTTACCCTCCTGCTCCAAGGCCCTGTTTGCTTCTATCACAGAACAGAACTGGGCTCTTCCTCTAGCTCCGGTTCATAAAGACATTGCTGGGCGGGGGTTATGGGACGTGAAGCACACGCTTTAAGGTGCACTCCTGTTCAGCACAATGTTCTCCCACAGAGGAAATCTGTAGTCACAGCTTTTGTGTCCTCTCCCTCCATTAGGTAGCAGTTTAGGCATTAAAGACTTATAATTTGACTGTGAGATAAAAGGGAGCAGTGGATAGTGATAATTCGGAAGACTTGTCAAAACTCAAACTCTGTAACAAGATCCAAGCGTCTTCAGTTGTAGACAAGCCGAGGCCTACGAGATTTGCTGTAGGTTACACAGCACTTTCAAGTGGAATTTGGATACAAGAGTCTGGTCCAGGGTTGTTTCCATGATCTCATGAAACAACAACTAAATTTCTCAGAAGCCAAACAGCATTTCAACTCTGTATATTTAGTTCTTGATTATGCTGCCAGCATAGGTCCCACAGGAAAGAATAGCAGGAGAGGCACACAGCCACTGCACACCTAAATAATATTATCTCAGGTACTCTGGTATGTTTATTATTCATTTTTTAGTTCTCATGTATAATTAGTTCTCTAATGTCTTGGCACGATGTTTATGTGTTATGGAGGGCAGTTTTCATGCTTTTACTAAAATCTTTTGCAGCCACCATCAGAGGTAAAATACCAAGCTGAAGCCTTCTTGTTCTGACAAATGAATTAGTTAAATTTATTTTATTATGTTCCTAAAAATCAAAGGGGAGGGGAGAGAGGAAGAGAGAAAAAGAAAGATGCCGTGGAAGGCAAATGGAAAATGATCAAAGTCAGTCATTTGTTGAAATATGCCCCAAAAATATACGCAATTTTCACTATCCACTAGTAGAAATATCTTCTAAAATAAATTAGGTTCCTAACACTGATGTCTTAAATTTTCTGTAACACATACCTAGAGAAACTGTTTATAAATGTTAAGAAAATATGAATAATAAACCTGAGAGCTGGATTTGACTGAAATTACTAACTGAAACAAGCTTACAAGATAAACAGAAAATGTATCCAGACCAGTTCTGTTCACAGGAAGGAAGAAAGCCTCCCCAGGAGAATTCAGACATTTAGCAACAAACTTGGCTGTAAACATTTGTCTAAACAGTCAACAGGACAAAGAAAATGCTCCTGGGAGAAAATAACCAGATCTTAGAGTCCTGGGCTTTGAAGTTGGAAATATTTCCCCAGAAATGCCACATTCTTCTTTCTCTCCCACCCCAGTGGATCACAAAAGTAAACTATCATTTGTTCCCTCTTTTGTTATCCTGCCCAAAATATACACTCACTGATAAAGCCCACCAATGATTCATTACACACCATCATCCCAAGGTTTCCAGTATAAATTCCATATTAAATGAGCCTCTTCTGTTTTATTAATGCTTAACAGTCATTTAACAGCAACGATAGTGCCAATGCATTTTACCGTATCTTACCATTCATTAAAACCCAGCTGTTTCTGTATGAAGCAAAGGCCCCAGGGTCTTCTCCTCTAGTCTCATTTTCTTAGCAGTGGCTGAGCTGAGATTCATTTAGAAACAGAAATAATGGGATGTGGACATTCTTTTCATATTTCTCCTTTTCTCTACAGATCAATTCCAATTTCTCTATCCCTCCACTCTTTAGTGATGAAGAAAGGAAATGAAGAAAAAGGAAGACACAGAAAGTGGAGAAAATTCTGGTGAATTGAAATTTAGATTGAGAACCTGCATCTATGTTTAACATGGAGTGAACAAACAAATGCATTAAAGTGATCCACAGCTTAATTTCCTGGTATTTCATATATAACTACACACATGTTCCTTTCCTGAAGCTCTACTCTTCCCCAGAGCCTTCATCCAAAGCATTAGTTTATTTATCAGTCAAGGAACGGAGTTGACTATAGCTGCTACAAGTCCTAGCACATGCAGCTCCAGCAACACCATTCACCTGTAATCCAGTTTCCTTTGCCTCTGGCCTGAGATCACCTTCCTTACTTTGTCGTCTTATTCACTACAGCTGGAATTTTATACTTGCCATATGGGCTTCCTAAAAATCCTTCCAATGCGTTTTTGTGGCATCAGTTCTTGTCTCCAACATGCAGCTGATTACGGGTGGATTTGTTTACATGGTTGGCTCCCTCTCAGAATGTAGGCTCCTCTGATTGAACTTTGTATGCCTACTACCTACATTAGGCCTTAAGCATAGTAAGGTTTAGTAGGCATCCAATAAATGCTTATATATATATATATATTGATTTCAGAGAGGAAGGGAGAGGGAGAGATAGAAACATCCATGGTAAGAGAGAATCTTTGATCAACCAGCTGCCTCCTGCATACCCTGCACTGGGGGGCTGAGTCCACAACCCTGGTATGTGCCCTGACCTCCTGTTCACAGGTGGACACTCAAGCACTGAGCCACACTGGTGGGGCTCCAATAAATACTTTTTAAATAAATTTGGTAGGAAGTTTTAATGTATGAGGGATTTGCAGGGAGTTGAAAAAGATGGCCTCCAAGGTCCTTTACAATTTTCAGATTTTGAGAATATCAGTCTCTTCCATGGTTTTGATTATTACATCTATTCATGAGTTTTCCCCCATAACTTCAAGGCATTCCTCATTCTAAGCTTTAGACCAAAATGTCCACCTGACTGCTACATAGCTTCACATTAGCAGACAGGACATCTCAAATTTAGTACGTCCAAAATTAACTCATTTCCCCACACAACCAGCTCCGCCTTTCCAGTGCTCTGTATTTATTAATGACACCATACTCCTTAGGAGCCCATGTGGAATAAATCCAGGATGGCACTTCTTCCCTCTCTAAAGCCAATCACTTCCTAGTCCGGTGGATTCAGCTTTCACAAAATCCAGTTCTTTTTGTGACTCTATCCTGACAGTCTCCATCAAATTGTTTGTGACTCTAATTAGCACTTATTTTATTCTGACTTTCATGAAGTATTTCCATCTCTGTCCCAACACCAGATCCTGGAATATGTCTGTGTAACAGGCTGCAACTCCGTAACACAGGTTGCAGGTGCTCAAGTCTAGAGGGGCTGAATGAATGTCAGCATGCTAGGTCTAAATTACTTTGGCGGCATGAATCTTGTTATATCCTTTTTTTGTTTCCCCCCTAATATAATATAGTAAAAGGCATTGGAAACAGGGTAGATTCATCTGTTATTGTCCTTGGGAGTGGCTGCAACAATTGGCAGTAGCTATTATTTTAAAAAACAAACAAAACGCTGTTTTTTATAAAAGAAAGAAATGGAAAGAAAGAAAGATCCTTTAGACGCAGCTCCCAGCTAAAAGCATCCAGAATCCAGGTTTCCCACCCCTTCCAGTGGCCTGATGTGCGGCGAGGGAGGAGCAAGGAGCAGGCACAGCCTGCGGAGCGGGGAGAGCGGGATGGGGGAAGTCCCGGAAGTCATTGACCGGAGCAGACGGCCGCCTCAGCGGGATCTGCTTGGGCTGAGGTCCCAACAATAACAAATCTCAGGGTCTGGCGGGGGCTGCCGGGGGCCGG